ATACTTGATATTTATTTCCTTCAAAATTGATTCTACAGCTTTGCATACTAGACCAGACTAAAAATTCTGTAGTTCTTAAATGCCAATTATTTTCTATTTTTAATTGTATACTTCATCATCATTCATTTACCTAAAATTTGCAATAGTAAACCTGTAAATTAATACATCAGTAAGTTTAGAATTCTTGGCTGAATATTTATTTCAAAATTCCCACTTATCATTTTCTGTTTGCTCTCCTGGTTGCTGAGTTTAATTTTGGAGGAAGAATTAAGAACTTAATATTGTTTGAAAATTTACAGAGTTGATGGGCAAATGTCTTGCAAATCTGTCACCTCTCACAAAAATTTCTTCCAGATATTAAGTTCTGATTTTCTTTGCACACATTTTTCATTATTCTAGTCAATACATTTAACCACTGTTTACAATGTTTTGGAGACATAGTTTCTGTTTCCCGGACTTTAAAATGACTGGGAAAGAGCCTGCTTTTCACACTGCCTATTGCGAGGGCTCTGTGAACAATTTCGTTCCCCACCGACTCAGCTGATCAACGAGCCATCAAGCTGTTTATCCTAACTTCCAAGAAGTACTGTCTTCTTCACATGGCCTACCTGAATCAGTGTCTCCAGCTCTAGCTGGGTTACACAAACATGCTCCCGAAGAAAGTCAGCCTTCTCTAGCGCGATTGTGTTCTTCTGCCTGCTTTCGAAGGGCTGCTCCAGGGCACGGAAGACAAGTCCTCCTGTCACCAGGTAAACTACCACCACGACAAAGATGGCCACCACTGTTTTCCACTTCATGACTGTCTGCAGGCCTTGAGAAGGGGCTTCCATGGTAGCAACGACAGTGGCTCGGGAGGAAATGGAGAGTCGTGGAGCTGGGTAATGCCCGTTAGTTTTGGGCTCTGGTTCACAAGCTGGCACTGGTGAGGGTACAGCCACTGAAACACAAAGTAAAAAAATCTTATTCAAAATCAAACCCCTAAGGGTATGACCTTGATCTTCATATACAACTTTCCTAAATACCATTTTCAAGACTCTCGCATAAACCATGTTATTCACACAGATGCGATTCTTCTCACCTGGAAGGCGCCATGTGTGTTTGTCCATCCATACACAAGCCACCTCAAGGGTTTGCTTCACCCATTACTTCTAGAACTGGACAGGCCAGTTGCATATGCAAAAACTTCAGAAGGATGCAGAAAACCATTTATCCAAAAAGAACATGAAAATTTTTACTAGTTAGGGTATAAATTACACAAAGTGGTGTTTGGTGAGGGACCCTGGTAGTGATTTATGTCCTTAAATCATAATACTAATAGTATTAATAGTGCTAGGAAATTGAACTTTAATGATCACTGATCACTACCTGGCCTGGTATTGACAGAAACAGAAAATGTTTTGCAAACCACAATGCTGTTTGGCTCACCAACATAAGCAGGTCCATATTGTTTACACGGATTCACAAAATCATCACTTCTGAAAATGTTCTTAAAGCCTGAAAGCTTCCCAAATTTTAGCATAAATCATTCTTCAGCCAAAGCATACTAGATATCTGAGGTCAAAGTCACTCACACGCCAAGCACAACGATGGACCTCCCAGCTTGGGACTGAGACACTGTACAGCCCATGTGACCTTAGCAGTACATCAGAGCTAATAAGCCCTGACTTTCAGCCAGACCACTTCCCCACTCTCTCTTGCCAGTGTTAGCAATGGCAGGATGAGGCCGGGTTCCTCAGCATCCACCGGTATAATGGTACCACATGCAGGCTTTAAAGATGCTGGATTCATTTTAAACCAAATCCCTGCTGTATTCTTACCATGGTGCAGCTGTCACTGGCCTGTAATTTCTTTGAAACCGGATTGATTTATTTCATATCAGACCTAAATCAGATCACAGTTAAAATACAATCACTTTAGCTGCATTCTCTGAACTTATTCCCAAAGTGTCTTTGCTGTTTTGCTCAAAAATTAAAGCAGAAGGATTTACAACATCTGATGAGTGGCACCGTAAACTGATTCTATGCAATTTAAAGATACAACGTGATTACACCTTGAGTTTGAAGTGGGCTACAACTTTTTCCCAATAGAAACCATTTTATGACA